CTTAATTGTATGACAATAAAGTTCCCTTGAATATTTTGCCAAGAATAAATAAAAGAAGATTAAAAACAATGAAAGCTGTAACTTAATAGACAAGAAATGCTTACACTGTGACTGTGACCATCAGCATTATCAGATGTGTAGCTCCTCAGTACACATCCATCCTGTGCTGTATGGAACAGGATGAGCCTTTATTACTTCAACCACCATATGCAGAGCTGCTCACACTGAAGGTCCCATTGAAAACTTGGTGTGTTTTTCATTGACAGCCTTGAATAGAGGTTTTTATCTAAAACCCCTAAAAAAAAAAAACACACACACGCAAAAATAACTCAAAGGCAGACATTTCAGTAAAATGCTTTATTGGACAGAATTAGTTCCCTCAGTAAGAAAATAGCTGTTTTGGCTCAGCTAGTCATCCTGACTATGCAATGGCCCATGGAAACAAAATCTACTAAGAGGTATTTATAATATTAGGTTCCTTGTTTTTAGGAGAAGCCGATTCTAACTTATAGTGACCCCCAAGTTGCAGATGCGAACTGCCCCATAGGGTTTTCTAAACTGTAATCTTTATGGGAGCAGATCCTCAGTTTTTTTCTCCTATTAAGCCATCGGTGGCTTCAAACTTAATAGACAAGCCATCTGATGAAGTGGCTGAACACTTCATCCTTGTCCCAACAAGTTTTCTTATAATGCCTATGCATACATTTACATGCTGTTAATTAATTACTTCTGGCTTGTCAAGACCCTGTAGGACAGAGTAGAACTGTTCCATAAGGTTTCCAAGGACGTAATCTTTCTGGAAGCTCCCATGGAGCAGCTAGTGGGTTTGGTCATTCAGTTAGCAGTTGAGCACTTAACCACTGCACTACCTACCAAAGCCCCTTATCAGACATATTCTTTTTGTTATTAAGTGCCATCTAATCAATTCTGACTCATGGTGACCCCTGTATAGGGTTTCTAAGGAGTGACTGGTGGGTTTGAACTGCCAACATTATGGTCAGCAGTCCAGTGTTTATCTTTTATTTCCACACCAGGACTCCCTTAGCCATAGAAGCTATGAATAGTATGAAATTCTGCAGTTTGTCTTATTCAAAACTGTCAACTTATAGATGAGTTGGATCAAGTGCCAGTAGATTAAGTAACTTGCTTAACATCACACACTTGTTTGCTGAAAGAATATAGTTTTATTTTGCTTTTTATTGCTATATTAACTGTATAACAGACTTTTGGAACAATAACAGCAACAACAACAACAACAACAAAATCCTGTTTTGAATTATAGAGAGAATGTCCTTTAGAAATGAGGAAGATGAGACTTTATTTCACATACTTTGGATATGTTTCCAGGAGGGACTAGTTCCTGGAAAAGGACATTATGCTTGGTAAAAGAGAGTGTCAGAAAAAGAAGAAGACCTCAACTAGATGGACAACAATGGGCTCAAACAAAGCAACTATTGTGAAGATGATACAGGACTTGTCAGTGTTTTATTGTGTTGTACGTAGGATTGCCATGAATAGGAGCCAACTTGACAACACCTAATAACAACAACAATGCTCCCTACTTTTACCCCATGATTTGACATGACACGATTGTCTTAAATGATTGTATGCTTATAGTTTTCTAATAACTTCTATTCTTTTAGCTGTAACTAAGAACTGGAGAGATAGTGCTTAACATTTTTAACATATAAAAATGATGCTCCACCCTCAGATATTTTGATTGAGCAGGTTTAGGTTGGGACTCTGGAATTTTCATTAACTATTAGTGTGCTGTTGCTATGTGCTATCTTATCAATTCCAACTCATTGTGCCAGATGTATAATAGAGTGTTGTTATTGTTAAGTGCCGTCAAGTCGGCTCTGACCCATAACGATCCTGAACAGGGTTTCCGTGGCTGTAAATCTTTATGGGAGCAGAAAGCCTCATCTTTCTCCCGCGGAGCAGCTAGTAGTTTCAAACTGCTGACCTTGCGGTTTGAAGCCCAATTTGTAACCACTACGCTACCAGAGCACCTTTATAATAGAGTAGAATGGTCCAATAAGGTGATGTCAGATTATCAAACAAACAAAGTAAGCTTGGATTTACTTATGCTTACTTACTAGTCTATAGGGAACAATTTTATACTTTTCACCACATCAAAGATTCTGCTTATAGATATGACTGGCATCTGTCTCTCTCCCAACTTCACAGTCTCTTGGGCTAGTTACCATAAGGTCAGTAGTTTAAATACACCAGCCACTCTCTGGGAGACAGATGAGATTTTCTGCTCCTGGAAAGACTTGTAGTCTTGGAAATCCTATGAGCTCGAATTGGCTTGATGACAGTGGGACAGGGACAGAGTAAAACATGTGAAATTATTTACTACAGATTAGTAAGCAAGCAAAAGTAAGCTTGTGTTTACCTTGCTAATGGGTTTCCTGGTCTATACTCTTTACAGGAGTAAATCCCCAGGTCTTTTCTCCCTTAGAGCCACTTGTGGGTTCAAACAACTGACCTCTTGGTTAGCAGCTAAGCATTTCACCATCCACCCAACAGCATGCCTTGTAAGTGTACTAGTGATTATAAAGCAAGGGCACTAAGAGATTATGATATAATTTGTACCAGGGCATCACAGTACAGGTGTGCCAGTTGATTATGGAAGCAACTGATTATGATGCAAGTGGTCCAAGACCTGCTTAAAATCACTGAACTCAAGCCCTACTAAGATTTCCATTAGGTGCTGCCTGAAGTTCAGTCGTATGGTTAGGAATATCCATTGCCTTTTTCTTGTGAACATTATGGACTCTAGGAAAGAGACAGCAAATTAAGCCAGATTTCCCTGAAGATTGTTCCACAACCTTTGGGAGTAAACACTTGGGCATTTATTTTAAAATGCTTTATTGGCTTGATGGAAATAATGCAGGCCTCAAAGTAAAGGAAAAGCTTGAGATTTTACAAGAATCTGATGAGTAACTAATCTGCTGAATAACTAACCACAATCCATTTTAAATTGTCCTGAGGAGTACTTAACACTTAAGTTGTTAAGTGTCCTAGAGTAAATTCTGAATCATAGTGACTCTCTATACTGTTTCCAAGGAATAGCTGGTGGGTTTGAACTGGAAATCACATGGTCAGCAGTCCAGCGCTTATCCTACAGCACCATACCAGGACTCCCTTTAACACTTAGGCACAGACAATCAGTCAATCACCCAATATTTACTTGTTGTTGTTGTTAAGTACTGCGGAGTCGGTTCTGACTCATAGTGACAGGGTTTCCGAGGCTGTAAATCTGTATGGGAGCAGAAAGCCTCATCTTTCTCCCACGGAACAGCTGGTAGTTTTGGACTGCCGACCTTGAGGTTCGCAGCTCGATTCGTAACCACTACGCTACCAGAGCTAATATTTACTTAGCACGTACTTTATGCCCAGCATTGCTCTGGGTGCATGGTACACTTCAGAGACAAGATAGATAAATATCTCAATTCTTCTTGTGGTTAAATTTAAGAAGAAAGACAGGCAATCAATAATACATAAAACAGAGTATTTACCCAATATGTTAGAAGGTTAAAAGTGCTACGGAAAAGAACGTGCATTTGCAAGGTCAGTTTAAACCACAAGGTTGCTAGTTCAAGCTCACCAGCTGCTCCTCAGAAACCCTATACAGAGTTGCTATGAATCAGACCTACTCTATGGCACTTAACAACAGCAGCCAGCAACAACAGCAGGATTAGAGGAGTTGGAACCTTGTGAGAAGAATTGGAAATTTAAGTATGGTGATTTAAATTTAAATACCAAGGATAGCTTCATCTTCATTATAATAAACCTGACATTTCTTTCCATATCTTATTTATCTTTATGTTGCTGCTAAATTAATCTTACCAAGATTTCTTATTTTAGTATTTCCTTGCTTGTAAATCCTCAGTGATTCCCTATTGCCCAAATGAAGTATAAGCTCCTTTTACTGATACTCAAGGTCCCCACCAACATGGCCCGGTCACTCTTAATTGCCTCCTCTTCCCTACTTCAGCAAACTAGACTATTCACTGTAATCAGGACACACATCTGTTTTCTTGTTCTCCCATCTCATTTCTATACCTTTAGTCCTGGAGTGTGGGTGTGGCACTATAGGAAAAACATTGGACTGCTAACCACAGTATGTGGTTCAAACCCACCAGCCACTCCTTGGAAACTGCATACATGGCTGCATACTGGCTGGCACTCAACAATAACAACATGCCTTTGCTCCAGTCAGCCCATTTCTTCTCTGTTGTCACCCTTAACATTTACCCACCTGGCCAAGTTCAGTTTAGAAAATTCCTCTCTGCAAAGTCTTCCTTATTTTTCCCAGCTGACAGAATTCTTTTTCCTCCAAAGTCCCACATTATGCTATGAATACTGCATTCAACAGATGTATTATAGTTATAAAAAGACTGTTTTTTTATTGGATTGTAATCTTAGTAAAGACAAGTATCACCTCCTTGAATAGCCCCATAACATTCAGATTGGTGTTTTTCAAAAAGCAGTCCTAAATAGCTAAGTTTCTGTTAGTCAGAAAAAATAAGGCAAAAGTATTTAAGAGCAGGAAGCATGCCTGAGTCATTAAAATCCGACTGCTTCTCTGAAGGAAGTAAAAACCTCAACTGTGTGTTCATGGTGTGTTAATGGTCATAAGAAGACCAGAAAACAAAAAGGAAGTATTGTCATTTTATTTTTATCCCAGTTAAATTTAAGACATTAGAAATCATGGACAAACTTGGCATTTCTTTGTATCCTTTACAAAGAGCTTAACTTATGTGTTATGGGAAGAAGTTTTCAGAATTGTATTTTGAATACTGAATGTAAAGTGATATCAATAGTAATTCTGTTGTTGATCTCTAGTAATACACGTTAGAATTGTATCAGTACACTTGCAGAAGACACTTCATCATCCTGAATGGAGATGCTTGTGTTTAATTAACACTTAATTTAGGAAGGAAACTTAATTATGTCTCTGAAAGATACTTTGGGTATTTCCCCTCTAGCCCAAATCTCACTTGGCGAGATATGCAGCACTTGGTTGTCTGGACCTCTGAGTATGACCCACTGGCCAATAACCCTGGATGGAAAAAGAATGGCGCAGGCTTGATGGTGAATAGTCGGTTTGGATTCGGGTTGCTAAATGCCAAAGCACTGGTAGATTTAGCTGATCCCAAGACCTGGAGCAGTGTACCTGAGAAGAAAGAGTGTGTTGTAAAGGACAATGAATTTGAGCCTAGGTAAGTAAGAAGATTGTAAACAAATGTGTGCCCATGATATTACCGAATAACGATATTTGACACTCTGGTCATTTGTTTTAATACTTTATTTCCGAAATAGAGAGAGATGGCGTTTACCATTTGTAATCTGTCAGTCTCCATGGGAAATTATTGAGCGATCAGAGATCTGTAAATCATGCTAGCATATTTGTACATATTTGTACAGTGTATACCACTGCTTTATAGGAACAAAACCATAACCACGGACTTTGAGTCTAAGTTCATCTCACATGCTTCCAAGCCCTCTTATCCTGTTATTGTTGTTAAGTGCTGTGGAATTGGCTCTGACTCATAGCAACCCTGTATAGGGTTTTTGAGATGCGACTGGTGGGTCTGAACCACCAACCTTGTGGTTACCAGGCAAATACTTTATTTTAAGTATTATATATCTTATCTAGGGTTAGGGTTTGCAAGACTAAATCTTTATGAGAGTGGACAGCTTAATCTTTCTTCCACAGAGCAGCTGACGACTTTGAATAACTGACCATTCTGTTAGTAGCCCAATGCCAAACTCCCACTATAGGGCCACCATAGCTCATCTATATATATTGTTGTTTTGTTGTTTTTAAGTGCTGTTGGGTCAGTTTCAACTTGTAGCATCCCTGTATATGGTTTCTGAGATTTCAAATTTTTGTGGAAGCAGAAAGCCTCATCTTTCTCCCATGGAACAGCTGATAGTTTCGAACTGCTGACCTTGCAGTTCGCAGCTCGATTCATAACCATTACGCTACCAGTATATACATATTTACTATATACAATCCTATGCAGGGTTGCTATGAGTCAATATATATATATATATATTTGTTGTTGTTGTTAAGTACTGTCAAGTCGATTCCGGCCCATAGCAACCCTGTATAGGGTTTACAAGGAACAGCTGGTGAGCTTGAACCTCCCACCTTGCAGTTCAAACAGCTTTGCAGTCTGATGCATTAACCTGCAGTGCCACACCAGGACTCCATATGTATTTACTAAGAAAAAAACATTACCAATTAAACTGTGACCAACTTCCATTTTAAGATTTATCCCAAATTCAAAGATTATAAAATATTTTAAAATGCATCTTAAAATTGATAAAGTGCCATAGTTTCTACCCAGCATTACTCAAAACTTGCTTCCCAAATAGGCTTACTCCATGCCATAATGTTATGTGATTTCTTATATTTATCTTCCATGAAGGATCCTTTATTATACTACTTTTATATAGTATAGGTTTAGCCACCTACCATATATAAAAATAGAAACAGAGTCTGGTAAAACTTTTTTGTTGTTTCCATCAAGACACCCTGATTATCCTGAAGAGCCACTTAACACGAAATAACTTATGGTAAAACGTTTGAGGGGCATGCATTAGGAAGGCCTTTTAGAAGAAATAATTTCTTAAGAAGGTCTTTTAATATGGCAATATTGAGACATTTTTTGATGCGTCTATAATAAAGCTGCCTGCATTCTATTTCATTGCAAATAGCATTGTGCTTAGGTATCTGTACGCCTCACATTTTATTGTCTGTTAAAATATATTCAAAGCTAATCCTGAATTGGTTTCTACTCATAGCAGGGAAAGACAACAAGCCTACCTAAGTATCTAGTCAAAACTGATGTGTACACTTATTCATAAAATGCAAGGAAGAAGCGAAATACTTTATTAAATGATGATTTTTTTAATGCATTTAGAGCCCTGAAAGCTAATGGAGAAGTTATCATTGAAATTCCAACAAGAGCTTGTGAAGGACAAGAAAATGCTATCAAGTCCCTGGAACATGTGCAATTTGAAGCAACAATCGAATATTCTCGAAGAGGAGATCTTCATGTCACACTAACTTCTGCTGCTGGTAAAAACTTCTTCTAAACTATTCATATAATTTTAAATGTCATTAAAATAATTTTGAATTAATAATGGTTGTGCTTATTCATTCATAGTACTAAGTCTCCTAATGGAAATTTTAAGAACTTAAATACATGATTGTTGTTTTCTTAAAAAAAAATTGTTCATTTTTCTTGATGTCATATCTCTTTCTGCCCTGCAGGTTCGCACTAGGCCTTTTAAATAAGCAGTGAATAACCTCAAATAACCACAGGTGATAAACTTTTCTAGAGTCAGCTTGATGCATTTTCAAACTGAGTTCACTTTCCAAGGTCATTAACTCACTGTTCATTATTCTTAGGTAACACATTAGGGAACGGTACACTGACAATTCATTTTGATGTTGTTAAATACCATTGAGTCGGTTCTGACTCAGCAATTATGCACAACAGAATGAAACACTGCTCTATTCTGTGCCTTCCTTATAACTGTTATGCTTGAGCCCATTGCTGATGCTACTGTACCACTCCATCTAATTGGAGGTCTTCCTGTTTTTTATTATTTACTTTACCAAGCATGATGTCCTCCAGAGATTGATCTTTTCTAACATGACAGAAGTATGTCAGACAAAGTCTCATCATCTTGGTTTCTAATGATCATTCTGGTTATACTGCTTCTAACACAGATTTGTTTGTTTTTTTGGCAGTCCATGGTATTTTTAACATTCTTCTCCAACACCATAACTCAAATGCATCAATTCTGCTGTCTTCTTAAATCATAGTCCAACTTTCACATGTACATGTTGTTGTTGTTAGGTGCCATCAAGTTGATACTGACTCATAGTGACCTTTTACACAACAGAACGAAACACTGCCCGGTCCTGGACCAACCTCACAATCGTTGCTACACCAGAGCCCATTGATGCTGCCACTATGCTTATCCATCTTGTTGGGGGGGGTCTTCCTCTTTTTTTCCAACTCTCGACCTTACCAAACATGATATCCTTCTCTGGTGACTGTTCCCTTCTGACAATATGTTTGATGTATGAGAGACAAAGTCTGGCCATCCTGGCTTCCAAGGGACACTCTGGCTGTACTTCTTCCAACACAGATCTATTTGTTCTTTTGGCAGTCCATGGTACTTTCAATATTCTCCTTCAACACCATAATTCAAATACATCAATTCTTCTAAGGTCTTCCTTATTCACTGTGCAACTTTCGCATGCATATGAGGCTACTGAAAATACTAGGTCAGGCAAACCTTAGTCCTGAAACTGACATCTTTGCTCTTTGTTATTGCAAAATTCTATCATGCAATCTCCAGCATCATTTCTACCTCCAAGGCTATAGTTTCTGATAACTGATTCTTCCTCTTTTTTGCCAACCTTAGCATTCCAATCACCCAGTAATTATCAATACATCTTTATTGCATGCTTGATCATTATCAGACTGAAGAAGTTGATATAATTCTTCAATTACATCATCAATGGCCTTAGTGGTTGATGCATAAATTTGAATAATAGTTGTTTTAACTGGTCTTCCTTGTAGGTGTTTGGGTATTATTCTATTACAGACAGCATTATACTTTAAGATCAATCTTGAAATGTTCTGTTTGATGGTGGATGCATCACCATTCCTCTTAAAATTGTCATTCCTAGCATAGTAAACCATATCATTATCAGATTCCAATTGGTCAAAACCAGTCCATTTCATCTCACTAATGCCTAGGATATTGATCTTTATGCATTCCATTTCATTTTTGACAAGATACAATTTTTCTAGAGTCATGCTTGGAACGTTGATCTTTCATTACTCGTAGGTAACACATTAGGGAATTGCACGTCAACACTAAAGGAGCCCTGATAGCATAGTGGATTATGAGCTGGGCTGTTAACAACAAGATCAGTAATTCGAATCTAACTGTTTCTCCATGGGGAAAAGATGAGGCTATCTGTCCCTGTAAAGATTTGCAGGCTTGGAGTCCCTATACATGGTCATTATGTGTCAGAACCAATTCGGTGTCACACAACTACCACCACCACTCTGATACTTATAATTATTGAAACTGACAAACATAACTAACACATCCAAATAATCAATTGAAAAATTGGAATTCTGATCCATGGAGGAAGGTTGAGTTGACTGACAAATTTTCCATAACTTAATGATTAAGACCAAGAACTAGCTAGAGCAGTTTTGTCCCTTTCCTGAAAGGTTACTAATTCAGATGGCATGATGGATGTGACCATCAAAGTAGTCACAATACTCTTTCATGTTTTAATAAATAACAATTAATTTTCTACTGAGGAGATATGAGGAAACATAAGTATACTTTATATGTCTAGATTTATAGATGATATATAGTCAGTCCCTGGAATTATGAATGAGATC